AGAGCTGAGCTGCTGCTCGAGGGAAATCCCGAAAACATGACCTGAAAGGAGCGGATCCCCCAAAGAAAGTGACTTGATGAGTGTAACTTAGTTTAATGCTTCAGACACGGGCTACTTTCAGCTGCTTCCAAAGTCAAAATTTCCTTTTTTACGTGCACCTGTATGCAGCACCACATCGTGGCAGCAGCATGTTGCGTGTTTGTTATTTCGCACTGTTTCCAGTTTAAAACACAGCTGTAGCTTTTCTACTGTGAGCCAACGCGTTGTTCACTGTAGGTAAAGCCTGCTGTAACGACTGATGAACGGGACTGTCAGAGAGTCTATTCAGAGTGGGAGGTTCTGTTTATGTGGTGTGTTCAAGAGTTTCGGGTTAACACGAATCTGGGAGAGTCGCCGTTACATCCGTTATTTGTCTTGTTGACTGAAATCGCAGACACAGAGTTCCAGTGGCGCAAAATGTCTGCAGGAACTTCCCGATGTCAGAACATCTGAAACATGTTTTAAGTTTGGTTCTCATTTTGTTTGACCCTCACAGCTCGGATTGTGACCGAAGTCCATTCCTCCTGTCTGATCTTCGCGTAATTCGGACTGTGGGGCAGCGAGTAACCTTGATGTTTGCAGTTTCAGCGCTGTAGCGCTCAGCTGCAAAAACGACAGCGCCGATCAAGCAGCGCATGTAATGGCTCATAATCTGTCACGTGTCGAACACGTCACCCACCCTCACCCAAAAAAGGAAAACAAAAACACTTATTCGTTTCCAAAATAAACATCAGCTGTTCAGTTTTTCCTCACAAATGTTGTCCGTTGCGGTTTTCCTGTGTTTGCTGGTGATCCTGGTTTCCGGATTAAAAGGTGAGTCACGGTTCTTGGAGACAGGAAGAGGAAAAAAATGTAAACATTCGCGTCATCGTGTGTTTACAAGTTAAAACGAACTGCTGGTGTGTTTTGGTCTAAACGGGAAACTTTTCAGCGAGTTATTAGAGGAAGTAAGTCCGTTGTGAAAACGGGAAGCTAAACAGTTACTCCCCTGTCTTTGCAGCGGCCTAGAGGACATGTGACGCAGATGTCGTAGTTACAGTTTCATTTGGGAGTGTTGCACAACATAGGGTTATTTTGCGCTATTTAACGTGACCACACGTACAACCCAGTCAGACAATCATCGGGTTTTTGGTTGGGGGTGGTACTGATCTGGCATCGATGCTTTAGCTTATCTTATCTATTAGTGTTAGTGTTTTATTTAACAATAGAGGGTTAGTCTGTTCTGGTAAACACCGGGGCCCTATTTCAGGAAGCCGGTTTAGAGCAAACTCTGAGTAAGTATAC